TTCCCCCACAAATCCTGATTCGTCGTTCTTTTTCATATAATCCTGATACTTTGCTCAGCATACAGGTTGAATAAGTATGGTGAGAGATACAACCCTAGTGCACACCTTTCCTGGTTTTAAACAGTTAAGTATTCCCTTTTCTGTTTTGCACAACTGCCTCTAGAGCTGTATACAGGTTTTGCAGGAACACAATGAAGTGAGTTGGAACTCCACTCTTCTCAAGATCATTCATAGTTTGTTATAATTCAAATAGTAGAATGCCTTTGCATAGCCAATGAAACGCAAGTAAACATCTTTCTGGTATTCTCTGCTTACAGCAAGACCTATGTAATGTCAGCAGTGGTATCCTTTGTTCCTGATCCTATTCTGAATCCAATCTAAACCTCTGGAAGCTCCCAGTCAATGTATTGCTCTAATCATTGTTGGATGATCTTCAGCAAAATTTTACTTGCATGTGATATCAATGACATTGTTCTACAATTTGAGCATTCTGCTGAGTCACCTTTCTTTGAAAAGGGTGAAAATATGAACATCTTCCAGTTGGCCAAGTAGCTGTTTTCCAAATTCCCTGGGATATATGCATAAGTGTTTCCAGTGCTTCATTAACTTGTTGAAACACTTCAATTGATACTCTATCAATTCCTGGAGCCTTGGTTTTGGCTTTTTCTCTGCAGCTTGAACTTCTTTCTTCAGCACCATTGGTTCTTACACTTATGCTATGCTTAAAAATGGTTGAATATCAGCTAGTTCTTTTTTGGTACAGAGAATCTGTGTACTCTTTCCATATTCTTTTGATGCTTCCTTCCCCATTCAATATTTTGCCCATAGAGTCTTCAATATTGCAATTTGAGGTTTGAATTTTTTTCTTCAGTTCTTTGAGTTTAACATATGCTAAAAGTATTTTCATACATTCCAAATTCAGATTATTAATAGATTTTTGCAGCTGCTTTTTCTCATTTTGAGCCATGCCCCATCAGCAAAGGAATACCCAGAAATGTTTACTCCCACGAGCTGTACTCTAGCCATGTCATTATGATCGCCTCTTCTTTGAGAAGTCCGCTCTCCCTCAATCATATTTTGAGTGCTTTCTGACCTAAGGGGTTCGTTTTCAGGCACTAACTGGGACACCGTTGTACTTCTATTCATTACACCTTCAGGGTCTGACAATATTTAAATGCTGTTCATAAGATTTTCAGTAACTAATTCTTCTGAAGTGGACAACCTATTCCTTCCTTGTCGTCCGTTCTTTGTTTGGAAGCTTTGCTAAAACATGTTCACTTGGGTGACCCTACTGTTATTTGAAATGCCAGTGACATCGCTTTCCGAGTCACAACAACACTCTAGCCACCACAGTGGGGCAAACCGAAAAAAATAGTGGTTTAGGTTATAGATATTATTAAATGGGAGCCTACTTGACTTTCACCAACAATATACAAAATATTTTAAAAGACAGAGCTCCAGACTAGTTGTTCTCTATAGGGTGATGGATTACTTCACTCCAAGAATTTGGGGTTTGTCCATAGTTTCTCAGATCCTTTGAATTTCCCCAGTGGAGGGCTATTCATGGAGGGCTTCAAACCACATCTAACAGATTATGTTAATGAGTTGGTCATATTGGGTAGGGGCTGGCCATGCCAGAAAGACCCACCAGGTGATATCAGTCTGACCTCCAGGGAGGAAAAGAAGACAGAAAATTGCGTTTGACCATGTGTTCCATGATTCAGTCATGCCTACAAAACGAACCCCAGTAAAAACTCTGCGCTCTAAAGTTCAAATGAGCTCCTTGGTTTATGAGAGATATGAATGCACAGTAGAATAAAGCATCTCTTGGGACATGAAACTGCATATTAGTGACCCTCTCAACTGGCAACAGCTGCTGCCCTTACCACACCTACTGTAACAATTGCTGCTTTTATTGGTGATGACATTGACCATTGCTTGCAGCAGCAAATAGAAGCTCAGAAGATGCTTTAAGAACCTGCAGTACATGCACCCACCTAGCTTTCTAGACTCATCGGTGCTGCTCTCCCACGGACTTACTAAGATACAGTCACAAACCCTTCTCTTGGTGTCCATTCTGACTCAGAGAAACCCTGCCAAACAAAATACTCACGCCCACAGAGTGGATTCTGACTCAAAGGGACACTGCAGAGTAGAGCTGCTCCATAGGGCTTCCAAAACTACAAATTTTCATGGGAACAGGCAGCTTCCCTTTTTTCTCCATGGAGCAGCTGGTGGGGTTTGAATTGCCCACCTTGTAATTGGTAGCTTAATGCTTAATCCAGTGTGCCCCCAGGGCATCTTAGGAGTCCTTATCCAAAACCCACTGCCAACAAATTGATTGCAACTCATAGAGACCGGACATAGGGTTTCTAAGGATATAAGTCTTTGGGGGACCAAATAGCCTCAACTTTCTCCCATGGATTGGCTGGTAGGTTTGAACCTCTGGCCTTCTAAATGCTTACCCAACAACTCTACATTCTGATTTCTCTTCATGGAAGCTTCTTATCTTCCACTTACCCACCAAGGTCCTTTTTGTTTATTGAGGTCCACCACCTTAAATAGGTCTTCTCCAACCCATCGTGTTTAAATTGGTTCTCTCCTTATTCTCTATCAGAAACTGGTTTTCCTCAAAGAACCATCACAATACTTAGTTATGGGATTTTTTGGTTAGATGTATTTGTTTACCATCTGCGTTTCCTGCTGGATGCTAAGTTCCATGACACAGGGACCCCTGGCACCAATTTTTGATCACCGCTTCTTAATTCAGTGACTTGTGTATGACCCATTCACTGTCCTCCAGTTAATGCTCCCACATAGTGACCCTACAGGACAGAGTAAACTGCTCCACAGGATTTCTGAGACTGTAACTCTTTATGGGAGCAGACAACTTCATCTTTCTCCCAAGGCACAGCTGGTAGGTTTAGACCACAGACTTTGCAGTTAGCAGCCCAGTACTTCCCCCACTATACAGCCGGGGCCCTGACTTGTAAACAGTAGCTTCTAATAAATATTTGTTGAATAAATTACTAAATAAAAGCTATAAAAAAACAACACCATGAATAAGCAAATGTGGTGAAGAAAGCTGATGGTGCCCAGCTATCAAAAGATATAGCGTCTGGGGTCCTAAGGCTTGAAGTAAAACAAGCGGCCATTTAGCTCAGAAGCAACAAAGCCCACATGGAAGAAGCACACCAGCCTGTGTGATCACGAGGTGTTGAACAGATCAGGTATCAGGCATCATCAGAACAAAAAATTCTTACCAGAGTGAATGAGGTGGGGAGTATGGAGTGGACACCCACAGCCCATTTGTAGACCACTGGATATCCCCTTGCAGAGGGGTCTTGGAGAGGAGACAAGCCAGTCAGGGTGCCATGTAGCAACGATGAAAAATACAACTTTCCTCTAGTTCCTAAATGCTTCCTTCCCCCCACTATCATGATCCGAATTCTACCTTGCAAATCTGGCTAGACCAGAGGATGTACACTAGTACAAATAGGCAGTGGAAACACAGGGAATCCAGGGCGGATGATCCCTTCAGGACCAGTGGTGTGAGTGACGATATTGGGAGCGTAGAGGGAGGGTGGGTTGGAAAGGGGGAACCAATTACAAGGATCTACATGTGACCTCCTCCCTGGGGGACGGACAACAGAAAAAGTGGGTGAAGGGAGACGTCAGACAGGGCAAGATATGACAAAATTATAATTTATAAATTATCAAGGGTTCATGAGGGAGGGGGGAACTGAGGACCTGATGCCAGGGGCTTAAGTGGAGAGCAAATGTTTTGAGAATGATGAGGGCAATGAATGTACAAATGTGCTTTACACAATTGATGTTTGTATGGGTTGTGATAAGAATTTTATGAGCCCCTAATAAAATGATTTTAAAAAAAAACGACAGCAGACTCAAATAAGTTAATGAGGTCTGACCACTGTTAATGGTGGTCCCACAAAGACTAACTCTCTCTATATTGGTAGTGTTAAAAGAAAAAAAAGGGGGGGGGGGAGTTGTCACACTGAAGAAGTAAACATAAGTTGGCCACAATGTTTGATAATTTGCAACGTAAGTTCCTTAAGTACCGAAGTAAATGTTCCTTTAGGACTCTTAAAATGTTGTCATTTTAAGGCATGTCATATAAGTTGGAACACTTCATCTGCAAAGTAATAAAACTGAAACATAAAATAAAAGTGTTTCATTCCCCCCCACACACCAAAACAAAGTGTTTAATTCCCCTTTGAGTGTATGTTGAATTGAATAAAATTTATAAAGCATTTTTTGGTCAAAAGGAACAAATTTTATATTTGGAAGGCAACTCTGCATAAAAATATAATCTACACTTTAAATTTTTAAAGAATTTTAAAGATCATCTTCTATATTTATTGGGTTGCAATAATGATGTCTTCTTTACAGCCCACTATATCAGATAAAAGTAATGACGCAAAAAAAGGATTTTTTTCTTGTTTTTGTTGTTTTCTCATTGTATTATCTTTATAGACCAGTAAAAAATAAACTCTTAAATAAATAAATATATAATAAATATTTATAAAATGTATAAATAGGTCCGTCCTTTTAAGAAATGCTCCATCTTAATGTGGCATGTTTTATAGTCCATTTCATTTTTAGAGTCCAAGGTCTTTCACACATAATGCCATACCCTGCAAAGGTCCTCCAGGGTCTTCAGAATTTATGTAACAACCATCTTGATCACTACAGTCAGTCCATCTCTTCAACATGAAGCATCTATTCTGAACATAATCTTGAAGTAAACATAATCCAGAGAGGTAAGGCCCCAGCAGCAGCCTAGCTGGTGTTCCCGTTGTCCACAGTAAAGCCATCGGCAGCTTTCATCAACTGGTAAGGACTGACCCAGTGTCTCTAAAGAAATTGCATCCATTTATACAGAATATTCATCTACTTCGTGTAGAAAATGTTTGTTCTTGTAGTTCGTGCTCAGTCTTCTTCCAAACCCAGTCTCTCGGTGGAAAATAGGCTCCCGAACATTCTGAATGTCTTCCTGGGTGATGATTTTTCCATGGAAATTTCTCTAAGATTGTGGTTCGGGGTCACGCTTCAACTGTATATCAGCAAGTCCTTGTACAATTCTGGAACTCTTTCTGGATCCACTGGTCGAGGAAGGAAATGGGTAAATTTCTGGTGTCTTTTGGATCTAGCGCCATCTCTTGGAGTTCCGTCTTTGTTAAGTGCCACAAAATACCTTCGACCAGTGTCTCCGTGTTTATATATGTTAGATGAATAGGTATTATACCAATTTTCTTCAAATTGCTCCCTAAAGATGCATTCAGATGTCAGTTTCTCCTAAAAAGGGAGAAGAGAATTATGATTTAAAAAAGACTTTCATGAAAATTTCTGAACATAAGTGTAGACATTGTATTTGTATGCCTTTGCTTATAACAGCGGTTCTCAACCTGTGAGTCACCACCCCTTTGACGGTCGAACCACCCATTCACAGGGGTTGCCCAATTCATAACAGTAGCAAAGTTACAGCTATGAAGGAGCAACAAAAATAATTTTATGGTTGGGGGGTCACCACAACATGAGGAACTGTATGAAAGGGTCACGGCATTAGGAAGGTTGAGAACCACTGGCTTATAACAATATCCTGGTTAAAGGAAGATTATTGTTCAATTGTTTTCACTTTGATTTGTTTTAGTTAGGTTATCTGGGATTATTTCTAGCGGGTACTTCATAAAGCAGTTTGGTTAATAGAAGCAGAAGACAAACATCAATTCCCAATTGAACTTTCCCATGATCCTTATTATTTCTCTCCTACCACCATCACCAATCAACAGTCTATACTTCAGGTTGCTGCATCAATAAATGTCAAAGTTTTATATGTCAGGTCTTTTTTATCACCTTTAGTGATAGATCCAAATTGCTCATCTAAAACCATTAATCCAAGTCACATATCTTCCCTTTATGACTTTGTTGTTTGTTTATACAGTCCCCATGATTAATTTTTATCTAACCTGATTCTATTAAGATTAAATATAGTAGAAGTTCAATGATTTGTCTTTTCAAGATGGACTAAATATTATCCTAAAGAACAGACAATCATGTTTCATTCTAATACATACACGAATAAGAAAGATTATAATATTTTTATTGTAATTCTGCTCTTATGATTGTTACACACTGCTTTTCTTCTCTGAAAATGATACAGTTTGCCCTTGAGAAGGCAATATGTTAGTCTGCATATGACTTGTTGTCATCGTGTCAATTCTGACTCATAATAACCCTGAAGCACAAATTAAAACTGCCACCTACGGTTTCTGAGATTGTGATCTCTATGGAGGGAGATCTAATGGTGGGTTAGTCACAGGGCTTGGGTGCTAACTGAATGCTGATGGTGTGAGTCCATTCTGCTGGAGAAAGAAGTGGCAATCTGTCTCTGTAGATTGTAGCCATGGAAACCCTACAGACCGTTCCTCACGGCCATATAGGGTCACTATGAGTTGGAATCAACTTAATAATAAAGGGTGGTGTTTGTTGTTGTTTTTTTTTCAAATCTTTATGGAAGCAGACTGGCACATTGTTCCCCTATGGAATTACTAGTGGGTTTAAACTACCAACCTTTTTGTTATCAGCAGAGTGCTATAACCACGGAGCCATATGGTTATACTCTAAGGTGACCAGATTTAAAGCGGGACACCATTGACCAGGTGGGGGGGTGTCTTGATTTTAAATTTGGTCTATATGGACCAAATAGACCATTCCCTAGGCTGTCATGCATTCTTTCCAAAAATCAGGACTGTCCCGCCAAAAGCAGGACATCTGGTCACCTTATTATACTCTTTAATGTAGTCCAAATAATATATTACTATGAATTTTTCTCAGTGTCTATTGAGATTCTAAATTTATATTGTGTTCATAATTTAGTTGGTGGTTATTTGTTGTTTTGTTTTTTTAAAAAATAAAGGGCCAGATAGATTTAGCCATCTACTAAATCATAAAAAGTAAATTGTCTATGGAAAGAGTTGTAGAGACTTTGACTATAAAAAATAACTTGATATAGAAAGTAAATGTTTGGAAAATAATTATGCCAACATATGTGCAAGTATGCTTGATACAATTGATGTATTGATTGTTATAAGAGGTGTGTCTATCTAGATGAGATAAGTGTCTATATAGATAGGAGGGATAAATAATTCGGAGATGAAAAGAACGGGACAAATGATTCCGGGGGAATACAGGAGAAGGGGAGGTGGGGGAAAGGAATGTGGGGGTGGGGGAACTAACCCAGGGACAAGGGAACAACAAGTAAACTAAAATCAATGGAAAGAAGGGCATTGGATGACTAGTGGGGCTTAATCAAGGGCAATGTGCAGTGAGAAATTACTAAACCCGAATGAAGGCTAAACATGACGGTAGGACAAGAGGAAAGTAAAAGGAAATAGAAAAAGAACCAGGAGGCAAAGGACATTTATAGAGGTCTAAATATAGGCATGTACATATGTAAATATATATATAATGAGAGGGGACTAGACTTATGTACTCATATTTATATGTAAGAATTAAGGTTGTAGATGGACAATGGGCCTTGAATCAAGTACGCCCTCAACACAAGAACACTTTGTTCTAACAATCTGGCATTTTGTGATGCGCACCTTCCTGACACAATTGTTGAAGACAAAATGGGTGCATAAGTAAATGTGGTGAAGAAAGCTGATGGTGCCCGGCTATCAAAAGATATAGCATGGGGTCTTAAAGGCTTGGCGATAAACAAGTGGCCATCTAGCTCAGAAGCAACAATGCCCACATGGAAGAAGCACACCAGTCTGTGTGATCATGAGGTGTTGATGGGATCAGGTACCAGACATCTAAGACCCAGAACAAAATCATACCCAATGTGAGGTGTGGGGGAGGGGGCATGGAGTGGAGACCCAAGGCCCATCTTTAGACAATTGGACATCCTCTCACAGTGGGGTCACAGGGAAAAGATGAACCAGTCAGGGTGCAGTATAGCACTGATTAAACACACAACTTTCCTCTAGTTCTTTGGTGCTTCCTTCACCCCACTATCATGACCTCAATTCTACCTTACAAATCTAGACCAGAACATGCACACTGTTACAGATAAGAGCCCACAACACAGGGGATCCAGGATGGATAAACCCCTCAGGGCCAACAAGGAGAGTAGAGGTATCCGGAGGATTAGGGGAGGGTGTGGGGAGAAAAAGAGAATCGATCACAAGGATTAATCTATAGCCCCCTCCCAGAGGGATGAATAATGGAAAAGTGGGTGAGGGGCAACAGAGGACGATGTAAGATATGAAAATAATAATCTATAACTTATCAAGTGTTCATCAGGGAGGGAGGGGGAAGAAATGGGGAGCTGATATCAGGGGCTCAAGTGGGAAGAGAATGTTTCGAAAATGATGATGGCAGCAAATGTGCAAATGTGCTTGACACACTGGATGAATGTATGGATTGTGATAAGAGATTTAAGAGCCCTCAATAAAACTAAGGGGTAAAAAAGAGCTGTAAGAGTCCCAAATAAAATGATCTTTAAAATAAAATTAAAAACAACAAAAAATAAGTAAATAAAAATAACAAATAACTAAATTTTATTTGGAAGTATGGATAAGACAATGATAAGCATGTACATTTTAATCAATGTTCTTAAAATTAAATAAGCAACCATGAACAAAGTTAAAAGGTTCATAGCAAAAGGGAAAAATCAGTATTGTACTGTAGACTTTTTTATAACACCCTATTACTTTCTAATGATTTTATTGTTGCTGCTTTGTTGCAGAAAAAAATTGATTGCCATTATCTCAAAAATTAAAATAGTGAAAATTTAAAAATACATACTGATCCGTAGAGTTCTCCTTTGTCATTCATTCCAAGGTAAAGACCACTGTCCACACCTCTGATACTGACCAGTCCCACTGCCACACTGATGAATTCCAGGATACCTGAATTCAGGGGAAAAAGTAATGATTTGTTTATATTAATGAGCATATATATGATTAAGAAAAAAAATCTGTCAAATAGTAGTAATAGCAGGCCCATATGAATAATTGTGATGATTCATATGGAAGTCCTTTTATACCGAAAAACACTTGAAAATTGTTTTAAACATTACAATCCTTCCATTTTACATGTAGACAAATAAAGGGAAATTTTGTTCATCATGATACAATGTTAAAAGTGTGAAATCTTAAACAGATTGACCTGTGTGTATTCCAGGCCAATCACTTTCTAAGTAGAATGACTAGGCAAGTCATTGTCTTCTTTGAACTTCAATTTCCTCATATTCAATATGTGTATGAAGCAGAGTGGTGAAAACTGACAGTTATTGGGCACTCAACAAAGAGAAGTTTTTACTATCAAAATTAGCATATGTCAGAGGTGTTTCTAGTTTACCATAATTCCATTAGAAAATTATAATCATTTTATGAATTAGTTTGGTTTTGTTTACAATCCATCAAAGTCATTATTTTCTTAGCAGCAGCATCCTTTGTATGGGTGTGTTAGTGGTTTGTCATTTATAAAGGGCTTCTATATGTGTTGAGAGAAAGATGGGTCTTTCTACTCCCATAGAGTTATAGTCTCAGAAACTCACAGGGACAGTTCTAGCCTGTCCTACAGAGTCACTAAGAGTTGGCATTGACTCAATTGCAGGGAGTTTGTTTACTTTTATGTATATTTTTTTCTCATTTGGTCCTAAAGGCAATCCCTTTAAGACAGACAGGGAAATATTATTTTCACTAAAGAAACTGAGGTGTAGAGAAGTTTATTGACTTGCCTAAGGACATGATCTTTGTAATTAATCAATAGTACTTGAACTCACATCTTCTCCAAGACACTATTTTTAGAGGACTATAAAGAATGAATTCAAGCACAGTAATTTCAAGACTTTGTAGATTATCTAGTATGCTATGTTTCCTGGCATGTAACTTTTAAACAAATTTTATGATTCAGAGAAGAAATAGAATATATCATTAATTTAAAATGACAACCAAATACGAAAAATGTACTGCTCAAAGAAGTTTTTCTATTGATACCTTTCTAAATTCTTTCCAATTATTAGTAGGAAAACTAATATCAAAAATAAAAATTTGATAGTGTCTTCTGTGTTATTCTCTGCATGCATTAATCTTTGGACTTGTGCTTTTGTCTAATTCATCCCTCTAGATTTTGCAAAGATGTAGAGATCCTTTCTATGTTTAGAACCACCTGCCTCAATAGTTTTCTACCTTCACCCTTTGTTAAGCTCTACAGGCAATTTGGCTTCTCTTCTTCTTCTTCTTTTAAGTATACATTGTCACATCATTTAACCTGACTCTTGCTCTTGAGTAATTTCTGGATTTGTTTTACAAGTTCCTCTTTGAGCACATGATAGTCGCAAGGACAAGGGAAAGTACAGAGCCTGGCTCTTTGCTTATATGGAGACTCTGGGAGAACCACATGCTTTGGGAGACAAATGAGCTCTTTTGAATGATTAGGAGATCATGTAGAACACTAAAATTAATAAGGATCTTGCAGTATCAATAGAGGACTAACTAGTTTATAAGTGGCTTAAAGAATTAGCATCCTTAATTGAGCCAAAGGTGGAGATAAGAAAATATATAGCAAAGAAAGCCCAAATTCCTTAGTACAGCCCTCATGATGTTAAGTACAGAGGGGGGGACTAAGCAAAAATTAAACTCACTGCCAAACTCATTAATGAGTGGTTTCAGATATCATAAAAACATGGGCCCAAAACACATCAAGAGAATTTCGTCTAGTACATAAATGTATATAATTATTATAGGTTGTATTGAACGTTACATTCACATTGAAAACTGTACTATGGCTGACATGTATTGTAATTCTGTCTGAGTATCTAATTTACATTAAGTTGCTCTTGACTTTCAGAGAACAGGAACTCATTAACTAATTAGGATGTATAATAGAGCCATTTTCAAGTACAATACAATATCAGATTTATTTCTATATAAACTAATTCTACAATAGAGCTCATCAAATATTCATTTTTCTTGAAAAACTAAATTGTAAACCCCCACATTTTAATTCTTATCTTAAAACAATTCTCTTGTTTTGTCAGAAATGTTGTCACTCTAGAAAGTTAAAAAAGATTAAATATGTTCTTGAAATAATTATAGTCAGTAGCTTCAACTTCATTAAACATCTAAAATCTGATACATAATCAGGCATAAATAATTTTCAATGGCTCAATAGGGCTGATGGGGGAAAAAAAGTTATGTTCTTTTTGTGTTCTTAAAGATTTTAGCCACACTTTAAAATTCTGATCCTTTTTCTCCTCGTGGAAATAGTATACCACATAGTAATTTGTAATCATTTGATTCTTAAATGAGATTTGACAAGTCTTTCTTATTTATAAGATGAGGTGGCAACTAAGCTAATTCCTTTACAAAGAGTAGACATGAAAACTTTCCTTAAGAGGTAATCACAGATTTTAGATAGATTTTCTAATGCCCAGTGTCCCATAAAAAGACTTGGAGGTACTTTGTCTTTCTGGTATCATTTTCAAAGCCAGCCTTTTAAAAAATCATAATAAACAGGTGAGTCAACCCACAATGCAACCACATCAGACAAATCTATGGAGAATAGGGAAGAATAAAGGAAAAGCCTTTAAAGGAATATGTTTGATCTCAGGCTACACTTTTTTTTTAAGTAAAGATTTCATGTTTACATATCAGGTAAATTCTTACTACTATATCACTGTGTGGAAAAAGTCTGTTAAAAATACAAAGCTAAATCAGATAGGAAATTATATTTTAAACCGATTGGAAACTTGTTGTTTCCAATTGATACGGTTTTTAAATAGAGAGTCTGAACGTTCATATTCACTTGTAGCCAAATAGGACAAAATTATCTAAAATATTTGTTTCAACATCTCAACTGGCTGTCCTTGAGTGTTTTCAAAATTCTTACTTTAGTGGTACAGAAATCAGTTTAAAATAAAAAATAGCAGCCAATTTCATTTTTAGTGATTGAAGTACAGCAAAAGAAGGCCAATAGAGATTCTGTTATACAAGTTGTCCATGACCTCACTTTTGACATACTTGCATAGGTAGTAAATTAAGCCATCAAACACCATTAGGATGTACTGGAATCTGTGGTAAAGAGACTCTTCATCCCTTTACACTCCCAGACTATTAAGGAGCTAGCATCCCCTTTGTGTGACAGTGACTATTTTGTTTATATATGTAGCTACCCATTACAAAGTGAATTTACAAAAAACAAAAATCACACCCACTGTTTTCAAGTCTTTTACGACCCACAGTACCCCTATATAGGATTTCTGAGACTGTAAATCCTTACGGGAGCACACAGCCTCATCTTTGGCCTACAGAGTGGTGTGGTTTGAACTACCAACTTTGTGGTTAGCAGCCTAATACCTAACCAAGAAAGCAACCTAAAATCAGTCTAGTTCACATGTTTGCAATTATTAAATACTTAAAATTTCATCAAGAAATGATGCTAACAAGATTAGAATTCTGATAAGTAATCTCCATTCCTAAAGGAGCAGATTTGAATACTAAGTTAAAAGCATCAGTATGTCTACAAATATCTACTAAGGTCTTTCTGTAAGGTTAGACTCAATACTGAAGAAACAATTCTTATCAATGAAGACATTAACGTTGAACTACTCGTGTCTTTAGAGCAGTTTTCAATGCGACGTGTATATGAGGCATCTGAATGTCTCCTAGGCCTGGCTCCTAACTACCTAGATCTTTCTTATAGTGGGAAGTTTTTGGGGTTGTTTTGGTTTGGGTTTTTTGCCCAGCGATACATGGAGTCCGATCTTTCTGAAAGACGAGAGAACTGAGGCACCTGGTGTCAGCAAAGTTCTTTAGAATCAGAATCTCTGCCTCCTCTATTTAAAATCCACTTTCCAAAAGTGACCCCAGGCTGGTCACTAGGTCATGGCACTCTCAGCTCCTAGTCAATGGGAATTTGGAAGAGGTTAGTGGAAGTTGCAAACATATGGGTTTAAAAACGTTCATTTTCTAAGCCTTTAAGTGCTACCAAATGCCTACCACATGCTCATTTCTACATCTAGAGTTCAAAATGTCCTTCAAACTGAGATTTACACTTCTCCAAAGTTTTAATGAGTCTTACCAGTGGAAAAGAAGAAATGGAAGCACAAAAAACGAGGGAGGGAGGGGGACAAGATAAGCGAGGGTCACTCCGAGATGAGATTCTCCAGGAATGCCACAGTGCTAAGGAAGGGAAAAGAAAGCTAATTGGCTTGGCATCTTTCACTTTGCCACTGAGAAGATCTTTCTTTAAATGCAACCTGGGTCTCCAATGACGTCACAAGCTGCATGATCAAAAATCAACCCAACTACCCACTGCCATCAAGTGGATCCCGACGCATAGCGACCCTGTACAAGTTTGCTGAAACTTAAATCTTGCCTCATCTTTCTCCTGTGAAGCCGCTGGTGGATTTAAACCACTGTCTTTATAGTTAATAGCCCCGTGCTTAATCCATTTCGCCACCCGGGTCCATTTTTGAGAGCATTAACAGGTTAATATTAATAACTTTAGTTATCCAGGAAAGATCCTAGAATGCTGTTAGGAAAAATAACTTCAAGTCATTTGTGCAGACGAGAAAACGGAAATTCACACTGGTGAAGGACTTTCTAATCACACAGCTAGCTAGGGAATAATTAACAGCACACGCCTTAGGGTTGCCCAATCCAGTATTAAAAGTAGACTCTGATTTAAGAATCCTTTGCTCCTTTCTTTGTTTTAACCCCTTCTGTTCCCAGGCACTCTCTGAGGTATTCTGAAACGTGCTCCTCTGTGTTCCCACCCATATCTTCTTTCACTTCCCCATTTCCTCCTACTGAGGAGATCCTGGCTTTCAGGTTTCACAATTTCTAAAGAGAAGCTTGGGTCCAAGGAGTGAGCATGCTCAGTAAGCAGGTAGTGGTTTTGTTTTGTTTTTTTATACCCTCCTCCCCCTATCACCACAGAATAGAGCTCTAGGACCCCAGCGAACCGCCTCCAGGTGAAGCTGACTGTATTGAAGACATCCACAGGACTTTAATCTGTTCCCATCTCATGGGAACATTCACAGTTCCCTAAGAAGATGTGTAAATACTCGTATCCTGCTATAAAGTGAGCCCTCGTGGTGCAGTGGTTACATGATAGGCTGCTAACCTCAAGCTCTGAAGTTCAAAACCACCAGCCTCACCGCTGGAGAAAACTGAGGCTTTCTAGTCTGGTATATTAAAAAAAAATTTTTTTTTTTCTTTTAAAGTTACAGTCCCCACAAGGATAGTTCTACCCTGTGCCATAGGGTCGCTGAGTCTAGCTTTGGAAACGTAAGCCACTGATGGCTGATCAAGTTCAACTGTCTACCTGTAGTATAACCGCAGGGCTAGTATCCCCGCAGGGAATGTTTCAAGAAGCGGCTGCTTCCTGGGGTTCACTTTTGTAAAGTGAAGCATAGGGAGACGCGTGGGAGAAAAGTGGGCGAAACTCTTACAAGGCTTTAAAAACAAAAGGAAATTCCGCCTTCCCGGTCAGAGGTAAGGTAAAGATGTAGTGCCCGGCCGGGTCTGGATGCCAGAGGCAGCCTGAGAGGTCCGGCCCCCATGGTAGCTGGAAAGGTCCGGAGGATGCCCGCTTCCTCCAGCGCTGCAGACACGGGGGTCGGGGCCTGAAGCCGGCCCCCGCTGCATCTCTAGCCTGCTTCTGGCCCGGGTGGGTCCGAGTGGTCCAGGGTGGGCGCACTCGGGACCCCTGCGGCCGGAGAGGAGCGGGGTGGGCGGGAGCCGACGGCAGTGGGCTGGGGATGGAGAGGGGAGCGAGGGCGGTACGTACCGAAGAGGCTGTGGTCCTGCCGGGTGCCCTGCACGCTGCCGTCGGGCAGGATCTGCAGGTGGAAGCCGGTGCGGCAGTAGAGCTGGCGGCGGCGCAGG